GATTTGGGAACGGCTGACTAGATGAACCGCTTTGTGGTGCGGCACCGCGATCCCGACGTTCTAGGCCACGCGGGGTAGTGCAAGACGAGGGGGATGACGGAGGACCACTCCCGGTCCACCAGTGGCCCGTGCGTGGGGTAAAGTGTAGTTTCAATAATTTCTTTTGAACTGTTTAATGGCAGGGTTGCAAACAGCGTATGTTATAAATCTCAGTAGTATTAATTAAAACCAGAATTTCGTTATATTAAAAATTATTAGGAATTCGGTTTGCTAGGTGTCACTTTTATATTAACCGCTCGGTGGCCTAGTTTATATTAACCGCTCAGTGACCTAGTTTATGATGTTTATTAGCTGTCACTTTTATTGTATATATTTTAGCTACACGTAGGGTCTGTGTTTATAAATTTGCATCTACCAAATTGAGATATGCACTCCCTTTACTTTTTATAATGAGTTGTTTACTTTAATCACTCTCTGAAGCTGTTAATTACTTCCTGATCAGTATTGAGAGATTAAATTCTGTGGTTTAGTTGGTGTGGTACCATGATGCACTGCTTGTTAAATTCGCCGCAGAACATGATCAAATTTACTACCAACATTTTGCATTAATTAAAACCAGATTTTCAGAATATTAAAAATTATTAGAAATTCAGTTTTCTAGTTGTGAATCTCTAGTTTATGTTGTGTATTAGGTGTCACTTTTATACAGATATGTTTTGTGCAGATGGATGCACTGCCCCAAGCAGAACCCACGTGACCCCGGGGTCATACCGTCCAACGAGTTGCACCGGAGTGCGAGGATGCTATTGCTGCCACGGTGCACCACGTGCCTGCTCCGAATACCCATATGGTATGCCCTCTACATTTGTATTTGCATAGAGTATTATGTAATTGAAGCGTGGTATATAATTGGAGTACTAACAGTACCAGAGTTCCAAATAGCGTATGTTATTAGTCTCAATAGTATTAACCAAAACCATATTTTCAGAATATTAAAAATTAATAGGAGTCCAGTTTTCTAGGTGTGAATCTCTAGTTTATGTTGTGTATTAGGTGTCACTTTTATACAGATATATTATGCGAGAGTGGAGGGGGGGGGGGGGGGGGAGTACATGTTTAGGGTGGTGTGATACTATGCCTTATGTGTATGGAATATGGTTTTGTGAAGGTAGATGGACTGCCCTAGGCAGTCCACACGCGACCCTAGGGTCATATCGCTCAGCTCGGTGGTGGGGGATTAGGGAACGACCGTCTGGATGTACCGCTCCGTGTTACGGCACCGCGATCCCGGCATTCTAGGCCACGCGGGGTAGTGCAAGACGGGGGGGATGTTAGAGGACTACTCCCGGTTCACCAGGGGCCTGTGCATGGGGTAAAATGTAGTTTCTATAATTTCTTTTCAACTGTTTAGTCATGTACTAGGTTCTGTGTTTTGTTATATGGGGTAGGGAAGATGCACTGATTACTCTTTTTGCAAAGAGTATTGATTAATTGAAGCAGGGTATTTAATTTGAGTATTACCAATAGCAGAGTTGCACTGTTATACAGATATATCCTGCGGGGGTGGGGGGCGGGAGTAGATGTTTAGGGCGGTGTGGTATTATGCCTTAAGTGTATGGAATATGATTTTGTGCAGATGGATGCACTGCCCCGGGCAGTCCCCACGCGACCCTAGGGTCATACCGCCCAAGGAGATGCACCAGGGTGCGAGGTTGCAATTGCTGCCGCAGTGCACCACGCGTCTGCTCCAAGTACCTACATGGTATGTCCTCTGCATCTGTATTTGCATAGAGTATTAATTAATTGAAACATGGTATACAATTTGAGTATTAACAATGGCAGAGTTGCAAATAGCGTATGTTATTAATCTCAATAGTATTAATTCAAATCGGATTTTCATTATTTTTAAAAATATTAGGAATTCAGATTTCTCGGTGTGAAGGGGGAGGGGGGGGGGGGAGGGGTTTGGAACTAGATGTTTACAGTGGTTCGATACTAAGCCTTATATGTATGGGATATGGTTTTGTGCAGATGGATGCACTGCCCCAAGCAGTCACTACACGACCCCGGAGTCATACCGTCAAGGGGGAGGCCATTCCTGCCACGGTGCACCATGTGCCGGCTCCAAGTACGCACATGGTATGTCCAATACATCTGTAGATAGTTTAACATCGGGTGTAACCGGGGGTTGAGGCACGGCGGTTTTGGCTTTGACATATTCTTGATTATATTGAAATTGTTTGGATGTAGGGCTTTCAACACGAGTTCACAATCGTGGCCCAGGATCTACTATCGGTGGCTACACGGATTAAAGAAATGATCCGGGAGAATCCAGTCCAGCCACGGGACCACCCCTATTTCAAAAGGGTGGGCGATGCAGCTAATTTGTTGGGGAGGGAGACACCGGAGACGCCAGAGGGCACGCACCACAACAGGCACACACCAGTTGAGCCACCAGCTGCGTCATTAAGTCACCCGGACGACGCTATGTGGCAAGACACACAGTTTTTAAGGGAGCTGGACCGGGTGGAGGATGCAACGAGACGGGGGTCAGCAGCTAACGAGGGTCCGGAGCAGGCAGGTACAGAAGAGATGGGTGGGGGGGGGGTGGGGAGGGGTCGATGCACCGTCTTTTAGTTTAGGTTTACACAGGAGCTTGCAACCCCAAGGGGGGACAACGACACGGCAGGGCCATCCGACGTACGCACGCCAACTTTGCAGGTGCAGGCATGTACTCTGACAACCGCGTGCACGACTCTTCATTTTCATGTTTGTACTACTTAATAAATGCAGGTACTCTTACATGCAGGTGCAACGGCGGGAGACTAGGGTAGGGACAAAAATGCAGGGCATAGCCTCAAGGCTGCAAGTTGATGTACGCCGCAAAGGTAAGAGGCCCCAAGTGCCCGAAGATGAATCGTTTGGCATGTTTTTCAGCACCGCCGATGGGTACCCCAACATCCCCCTTCCACCAATTTATGTCGTTCGGATGTGGCTGTTTGGCTCTCCGCATAGTGATCGGTAAGTCTCGTGGGACTCATGCACTAATACGTAGGGGGGGGGGGGGGGGGGGGGAACTGAGCTCCATGTGGTGACCCTTTTTTGGGGAAAAATATGGCAGGAATCAAGTTTTATTCCAACATGCCGAATGCAAAGTTAGATGGTCGGACTTTTTAACCTTGAAGGAGGGGACGAATGTGTCTAAAGTAATAGTAGATGCGTGGTGTTCAGTGCTCAATGCCAGGGAGCAACCTAGGAGGGGTGGGATGCTTAGTCGCCTGTTTATCTCAACGGCCGCTACGGTATGTATCGTGACAAATCTCCCATCGGGGCACCTGTTATGCAATATTGATGTGCACTATACTATTTCGTGTTAGTTATGGTTAGTAGATTGGTAACCGGTGCGTTTTCAGACTTGCAGGTTTACATGTTCCACATATTAACGGTTCGTTCACCTAGTCCGGGTGTTGATAAAAAACAGTATATTGTGAATTTGGATAGAGTTGTGCTTTATTTTACATTTTTCTGGGCAGGAGAGGTGGGTGGGAGGACCTGTCAAACATATATTAAAATTCGGGGGGATCCCCCATAATTATTTATTAATGTATCATGTGCAGGCAGGGTAGAATTATTATTATTATTTTTTTTGCCATGGGAGGACTGAATTAATGGAGTTGTTCTCTTGTACAGATACAATGGTTAATAATTTTCAGAATTGCAGATTGAGACAGTAGTGGGGATCTCTGCTAGCCGTGATGCAAGGTTATCGTGGTTTAAACGCCGACTAGATGCCGAATTTCAGACCACTGACCTTTTGGGGACGGCTACGTTAGACATGGTAACCCATAAACCATTTTTAAAAAATGAGACTCACACAGTATGTCTAACTTAAACACCCATATTTCTTGCAGTATGTCTTCCCCATTTTGCGCAGGCTATGCTTCTATGTGATGTGCATCAGTTTTAAGCACCCCAAGTTCGTCATCATCGACAGCTCGGCGAGCACGGACATGCACACACAACAGTACGAGGGAGCACAAGATGAATTGGTAACCACCATGCACTCTTACTGTGTTCAACGCAACCAGTTCAGAACTGTTGTGCTTAGTAGTAACCCAGTCATATGGTGCATCTTTAATTTATGTAATTCCGATTTGCAGAGAAACCTCCTAGCCGCATACCTGGATAGCAAACAACACGCTGTCCGTGCACTGCGGTTAAGGGTCATGCAACCCGAGAGGATGCGCTTGGCATGGAGTGACACCGCTGCTAACGGGGACTCTGGGGTGTATGCCATGAGACACATGGAAGCATTTGTTGGACAGGAGGCCGCGAGTTGGGGGTGTGGACTTCGAACAGGGGGTCACTTGGTGTAGGGATAATACTTCACTTTTCCATGTCTATAAAATGGCTCGTGTGTAGGGTTGTTTTATGTTTTTACTAATGCTTTCACATATACACACATGGGTAGAGTGGTGATCCCAACCCAAGTGGGAGGAGTACATCACAGTGTACCCATAGATATTCTAAGCATAGTGGGTTTACTACGTGCTTTTTGGGCATTGATATTGCACTATGAACTAACCACTACTCTAAGCATGCATTGTTAACCCTCTCCCCCCAGCGAGAAAGGAAGTTAATAAATTAGGAATTGCACACAACTACAATCCTATTATTTGGTTTGTTTATCCTGTTATAGAACATGAAATACTAACCCACTTACAAACCCATCTTTTTGCACTACTGCTTTGAATTGGTCAAAATGCATTTCGGGAATACATGCACCCAAAAATACAACAAAAACCAAAAATGCCAATTATATAGACCCCCATAATTCAGCCCCAAAAACGCCACCCAGACCCCCCTATCCAAACAGCTGCTAAACTAGTAGAATAAACAGATATCATAAAGGCTCGTTGTGATCAAATAGAAAACAGCCTTGCATAGGTTAGGGCCTAACAAATCACTACTTGAAAATTAATCTAGGATGCTGCATACTCTTAAATCTCAAAAGGCAATAACATATGGGGCTTTACTGCCTGGTAAATATGCAACAAAGTAAATCATTTACCTAACAGTTAGAAAGCACAATAGTATATATCTAGCTTCAATGTTAACCATCTGAATGATGTTTTCTTAATACGCAATATATATATATATATATATATATATATATATATATATATATATATATATATATATATATATATATATATATATATATATATATATATATATATATCTACGTTTAGTACTAACCATTCGAATACTTGTCTACAATAAATTATTTTAATTTCAAATACTTGTCCACAATCAGTTATTCCAATATCAAATACGATGATACGGGGGCACAACAATAGTGCACACGTCACTACAATATTATTACTAAACACAAAATGGAATTCATAACTAGGAGAAAATCAAATTCAAGCACCAATCACTTCAGAGGACAACTGCGGGCGTTATGACGAGCGTACTCACCGCACACTCCACATTTTCGACCCACCTTGACACTTCTCTCTTTGGCTAACTCACGTTGGTTTTTAATTCGCTTCGCGGTCCCCTTGTTTTTTGCTTGTGCGGGAGGTTTGATAGTTTTGGAGGCTGGAGGTTGCACACCGCACAAAGTCGCAATGGCTAAACGATTACCCTTTGCTGGATCATCACCCATACCATCACACAAGAATTCATCCCTCAAATCCTGTATTACCTGCAGCATTCGCGTTTGACGCATTGTCTTACTCCCTACAATTGCAAGGCAGCTGTGTATCTTAGTCCACAATCTGTTTGGGCCTGGGTCCATGGAAGGGCAGTCGGAATGTTTATCACAATATTAACCTAGTCTTATGTGCTTACACCAACAAGGAGCAATGCAATCAGGTGGCAAGCTCTCTAGCTGTGCAGCCCGAAACACCGAAAACATGTGCTCGCAAACCATCCCTAATCTTTCAAACAACTTGCAGATGCACGACGCACTAACCCCAGTCGGATTATATTCAACAGTATGGGTAACACTACAGCTCCCTTTAATGTCATAACGGATCACCCCATTATCTTTATGGATTCCTACCACCCCACAGTAAAAACACGCAGATTCAATCTCTTTTTGGAGCTCATAAAAGATTCTTATGGTGAATACCTGCGCCGTGTGTCGCTTTATTGCTAAAGGGGTTTTGAACTCAGGTAAGGACCCCTCACTCTCAGCATTTAGTTTATCCTGTGTATGGCGTTGTGTTTCAAGGACGCTATCATATTGCATGTAGAACTCAACCAGACTACAATGCGGGCGGGTACTCTTCCCATACACGTTATTCGCTGCTTCAGACCGGGATGTGGTGCATAACAACCCACTCATGGGTAAGTCTAAGAAATAGGCCGGAATCCAAAACTCTCGCTCCACGTATAATTTGGTAAACCATCGGTGCCCTGTTAAGTTGTGCTCTTCCATTAACGAGTGCCATTGTGCCTCAAACTCACCAATGGCAATGGTTTCATCCCACACAATATTGTTAAGTTTATTGCGAAATGTCTCGTTTTGCGCTAATATACCACCTAGTTTCTCGCTAACTTTGGTCATGATGTGCCACATACAGTAGCGGTGGCGGGTTTCAGGTAATACCCGTGCAATAGCAACCTTCATGTCCGGGTCCTGATCAGTAACAACGCACATGGGGCTCTGTCCCATTGCATCTTTGAATCTGTCTAGAACCGACACATATGATTCCGTGTCCTCCCTATTTATCATTGCTGCGCCAAATGTAATACACCGTTTGTGGTTGTCGACCACAGTAAAAGGTACAAACACCAAACTGTACCTGCAAGAGTACAAGGTAACACAGTAGTTTGCACTGCTAGTCACTATCAGCTCAGTAAGTCAAATCACTGGAAAATAATCAGGTGTGCAAGTCAGGGGGCATACATGGGTAAATCGGTTGTGCATACATTGCATACAACTGTGGTGAATTTATTTAATGGTATGGGGCGTGCACATTGTTACGGGTAATGAAGTCCATGTAATGTATGAATAAACTAAAGGATGTTAACCAAAACATGTCACCGTACCTGTTCGTACCGTAGGTTGCATCGAAAGAAATCACATCACCGAAGCTTGTGAAACTAAGACGGTCGGTGTGGTCAGCTCAAAAAAGACAGGCAAGATGGTCTTCGTCATCAAGATGGTAGTCAAAGAAAAAGTCCTCGTAGACCTCACGCTTCTATCTAAACTTTGCAATGATCATCTCCCCATCCTTGTCATCAACATACTGTTGGAGGTCTCGCTTGAAATTGTGAAACTCCATATCTGTTGCTCCAACATCAGCAAATGACCCCGCTGCCTCCTTGCATAACCGGAAACTTTTAGAACCACCGACATTAGCTTTAACACAATTTGCAAGGAATGCTTGTTATGCCACATCGAGCTTCTGATTGATCCTCATGAATAGCCTCGAAGGCTCAGAGCACACATTGTGGGTGTGTTCTTCAACAAAAATTGACACCACAAATTCCCCACCGGTGTCTTTTTTTCAGGCAAATCTTAGCATTGCACTTAACTCGATTCGACACTCGTCTCCTACGTTGAGTGCTCTTACCACTACCGCCACCATCCACGGGGGTAGGCTTGGGCCTACCGCCCCTCTTTACTCCCTCCCAGCTACAGACCAAGTAACGCATGGTGATTTGGCCGCCTCAACCACGCTTTAGGGAGTTGTGTCTGACAGAAAACCCACATGTTCTTGCGTATGTCATATAGTAATGAACACCTTCTGCTAGTGTTTTGAAGCGGCGCCCAACGAACGGGGTAATAGCGCTATCCACTGTAGGCCACCAATACTTAACTGGTACGGTGGTGTACACATCCATGCTACCACTCTCTGTCGCATTCGCCCCTGTAGGGAGAAACCAAGATTGAATTATGAGGGGATATACCGACAAAAACAAAACAAGCCGTAGTATGGGGGGTTGCAGCTCCTGTGGTAATCATCAGTTAGTAGTAATAATAAACTTAACATCATCTGCACTCTGCATCTTTTTGTATAAACTAGAATAGAAACTGTATTGAAGGGTGGTAGGAAGAGTGCACTATGCTTGGGATTTTAAAACTATTAAATTACATAACTTGATATCATATGTCTGTAATCATATTGGAATAATAGAATGAAGAATACTTTTCTTGTTGGTTGACAAAAGATTTATTGAAATAAAAGCTAGCATGCATCCAAATAAACTTAATACACTGTTTTAAAAGTTGGAAAGGCAATTGGGGTTAGTTAGTGGAATAATTATTCTGGTTGTTTTTCAATTCCAAGCATAGTTCACTCATAGGCTAAATAATTATTCTGGTTGTTTTTCAATTCCAAGCATAGTTCACTCATAGGCTAAATAAATATTCTGGTTGTTTTTCAATTCCAAGTATAGTTCACTCATAGGTTAAATACACTCAACATCATCTGCACTCTGCATTTTTTTTTTGTATAAACTAGAATCACCCAAACTAACTTAACATCATCTGGACAGGAGCACCCTACACCATTTTGTTATGTACTGGAGTTCGAAATACACTGCACTCTGCCAACAAGGGAAAAAGAGCCACGAACCTGATGACACAGGAAGTTCATCCTACACCATTTTGTTATGTACTAGAGTTCAAAGTACACTAGACTCTTCCAACAAGGAAAAAAAATCCACGAACCTGATGACACGGCAGGTTCATCCTACACCATTTTGTGATGTACTGGAGTTTGAAATACGCTAGACTCTTCCAACAAGGAAAAAAAAGCCACGAACCTGATGGCACGACAGGTTCGTCAATAACGCTGGGTGGTTGCAACGGTGGCAGTACATCGTCGTTACTCATGGTCGCAGGGGTGGCGTTACCGTCCAGTAAACACCGGTTGCACGTCGCAGCAGTCGCTCCGGCTGGGATTCACGGTCGCTACACGCTCTGCCGAGCGCAAGACACGCTAAGGAAATATATGATATCGGCAATTCGAAATACACATAACGTAATTAGCCTATACAAATAAGCAATGTGCACGCCGGTGCACGGTAAGTACGGTGTGCTACTTTCTCAGCCATCTGATAACCCACATCAGTGCACCGTATTAGTCCACATATTCACACCATAAAGAAATTATGCACTAGAAAATACCTTTTATATATATATATATATATATATATATATATATATATATATATATATATATGAGTTGAGTTATAGAGGACTGTGCAGACCAATATTGGGGCACACAACAAATTAGAATCAGACACACAACTTAATACACAATGGCACACAAGAATACATGTAAACAGCAGGTTTCGAACCTAGGCTCTATTAATTAACAAATCGATGCATGCGACATACAAACTGTGGCACACGACTACATCAGGCCATGCACACGACATATAGAGTAATGGCACACGTCATATTAGTCCTCACAGTCCTCTATAATATACCGGTCCTCATTTGAACTCAAGTGTGTGTGTATATATATATATATATATATATATATATATATATATATATATATATATATATATATATATATATATTGTATTTAAAAATCAACACACTACAAAATCAGTTTTTGATATTTCAAATTTGGTCTCTATTACTATATATAGTGTTTTTAATTTTATAATATGTTAATTTCAAGATTACTTTCTCAAAGCCAGAGAATGAATACATGAACTGATGTTTGAACGTCTTAGCAATTGCTCTTCTAGGTAAATTCATTGTTTATTTTGAAGTGAATATAAAATACAAAAAATTAAAGTTTAAAACAAAACATATGGTCGTTATATATACGGGTAATTTATTTTTGATTTAGAAATTTGTTCATTCATATAACTAAAACACATGTTATCTTCAAAAAAAAAAAAAAAAAAAAAAAAAAAAAAAAAAAAAACCTAAACTAAAACACATGCATATTTTCTTCATTTATGTAAAATGCTCAAAAAAATGTTATGGTTACAGTTTTGATCCTCTTTTAGGGTAATTTTAAACAAAATTTCCATTCCAATCAATGACTCTTGTTCATAAGGAATATCAACATTTTCCTAAGAAATAGGTGAAAAAGATGAATGTTAGAAAGTGAAAAAAAAATTATATTGATAAAAAAAATCATATTAATAGCATTTTATAATACAATTACTTTACTGTTCTTTTGGAATGAAGTCCCTTCTGTCATTCCCGCTTCATCCGAACACTCCCAGTCCCATAAGATAAAGGGAGCATTACCTATTGTGTACATGCACCCTTACAACCAAATTTATTTGCTCTCTCTAGTAATATTCTATTACATTTAACACAATACATAAGGCCTGCATCATGAATAGTTAATTTGTTATTGCATCTTGTGGACTTGCACAAAGTATAATACCGTTACCAACTATACTGGCTGGAACATAGAAATTCCCACCTACAAATTTTGGTCAATTAATATGATACAATAATAACTAAATAAAATTAAAATAATCTATTCTTGGCTATACAGATCTTCAATAGTGCTTATAACGACATCACCACTGGTAAAATCATAAATACCAGTTTATTGAGAAAGCATAAATGCAGTACTAATACTGCAAACATGAGCGTTTTCAGCATAGATGTATTGAGTATGCATTGTAACTTTGCGTGATGTGCTATATAACAACGGAATGACTGTGAATGCACAATAATAATATAACCATAATTAAATATTCTTCTATATTTTGCTACATTAAAAACAGAATATTATAGTGTAATATTACAATAATTATATAACCATAATTAAATATTCTTCTATGGAATATTCTTCTATTCTATATTTTTCTATTATTTCTATTACCATCATTAATTATTCCATAGTCTACCATAATTAAATAAATAATTTGACCAATACAATTAGTTTGGGCGGGAAATGGTAGAATGAAGATTTTACTTTTAATTATATATAGATATAGATTTTCACGATGCGCGGAATGAATTTGTTGTAATATATTAAGAATATTATTTAAATTAGAATATCAAATATTATACAATGCAATTGAAGATATAGTTTGGGTTATTTATGTGTTTTGATGTTATTATTTCTTGAATTTGAGCAAATAATTGCTCAAATTAATAGCTAATGTTTAGATGTACGCATGCGGTGTTGTAACTTTAGAGATTTTATTTATCATTGTTTAGTATTTTTTTAAAATATAAATTAGGCAGATGTTCTCGTTCTCTAGCAACTTAGTTATAGGAATGAATTGCTATCTTAATTCATTTGTATGGAAGATATAATTTTTTGTCTAGATATATAGCAATTTTGTCATTTAAAAAACATAATGTCAACGATTGTATTTACACATTATTGAAATCTATTTGTAGACGACACTGGTAGTAGCAATACAATCTTATCCATCATCGTCTAGAGCTAACACCTTCAGTCTATCAAGATGGGTAACTCGGGTGAAAATATATAATGGTAGAGTATTAGTCAATTAATGATCCTTTTATATTTTACGTCAATTAGTAATATCATATTCATTTTCAACCAAATATTCTTTTTTATTTTTAGTCAATTAGAATATCATATGCAATGATATTTTTACCTAATTTCCGTTCCATATTTAATTGATAATGTATAATATTATTATTCAAATATTTCCGTTCCATTTTTAATTTACCTATACTATTGTTTAAAATATGCATTTACTATTTATGATGTAGAATATTATTATTGAAATATTTCCGCCCAATTTTAGTTTCCGTTCCATTTTTAATTAAAATGCAATGATCTAACCATTTATTTTTTCATATTAGTTAATTATGGATCATTTTTTATTTGCAGTCAACTATTAATATTCATTTCCTTTTATATTTTCAGTCAATCAGTAATATCATATTCATTTTTAGCCAATTATTCTATTTTATTTTCATTCAATTAGTCAATTAACCAATTAGAATTTCATATGCAGTGATATTTCTACCCAAGAAATTATTATTATTATTATTATTATTATTATTATTATTATTATTATTATTATTATTATTATTATTATTATTATTATATATTTCCGTTTCATTTTTAATTTACCTATACTATTGTTTACTGGGTGTGGACGTACGGTACAGGATGTTCCACCTTAATCCCCATGGCCATACAATAATCGTCAAAAAGCTGACGAGGTGAATTCACCAGTATTATCCATTCTTACGTTCTTAATAGGATAATTGGGGAATTGAGCATTCATTCTAATGATTGGACTTAGAATTTTGCGAATGTCATATTTCGAGTGGACAACATGCACACATGTGTCCATCAGGTGGAAGCATCAATAAGGACCATGAAATATTGAAATGGTCTGGATGAAGGATGAATTGGTCCACAAATATCACCCTGTAACCTCTGCAAGAAGACATGTGACTCAAAATTAATCTTTGGACGTGAGGGCCGAACAATAAGTTTACCCTTTGCACAAGGAACACATGTGTAATCTTTTGTAGAAAGAATGTTTGTCCTAAGAAGGTTATGTCTAATTGAATTTGAAAGTATCCGGCTTATCATAGTTTGCACAGGGTGACCTAAGCGGTCATGCCATAAACCGAAAGAATGTGTATCTTTAAATTTCACCGCAAGTGCAACGCAGGAAATTTGGGGCCTGATATAAGAATAATATAGGCCGGAAGAAAAGGAAGGAAGTTCTTCTATTTCCTTTTTCTGGTTATTTACCGTTTTGGTCAAGACAAAGAATTCGGTATTGTTTTTAATTTAGTTTCTATGTGAAACCCGTTGGACCGAATATCCTTGAAACTAAGTAAGGTTCTTTTTTTTTATTGAGGATATAGGAGGACAGTTTCGATTTTTAACTTTGTTCCATTAGAAAGAATAAGTGAATCTATCCCAGAGCCCACGATAGGAATGTTATCATTTACTATTGTTGAGAGTTTGCCTTTGTGTGTTTTGAGTGTTTGGAAAAAACTTCTGTTTGTTAAAATAGTGTGCGTGGTTGCACTATCAACCAAGCATAAAGGAGAAACGTCCCCCATATCTCTATAGAGAAACGAGTAATCAGGAAAATGAGGGATGGATATTCTATTAGTAAGAAGATTTACTTAAGGAGCATAGAATATTTGTTCAAAATGCACACAGGCACTTAAAAGTACGAAAGAAACTGTTGCGGCCAATCCACAATTATTATTACATTAAAACGAGGATAGAAAGAAAAGAAAAATCATTCTTGATCTCCAAAATCTTCAAGCTCATACTTCATGAGGTCATCATCATCAGCATTAACAAGTGCGTTTGCTTCTGGTAACGCAACATGGTGGGACTCATCTTTAGGCCGCATTTTGTCCCTCTTCAGTATTTGCTGATATGCCTCTACCAAGTGCTTCGGGGTGCGACATGTACGGGACTAGTGTCATGTGCACCCACATCTATAGCAGGTTTGCTGCTGCCCGGAATGATTGTTGGATGAGCTTGATTGTCCTTGATTTTTCGGCTGCCTTTGCTTATTTTGGGAGTTATGATTCTTGTTGCTTCCATATCTTCCTCCACGACTTGGACCCCTTCCATGACCTCTTTCTCGTCCTCTACCTTGGTTCCCCCTAGTGTTGCTCGACTAGACAACATGGTGTGCTTCAAGCACTGGTGCAGAGCCAACATGGCGTGCATTATGGTTTCGCATTAACAACTAGTTGTGCTTCTTAGCTACTAGGAGGGCGGAGATCAGATCAGCATGCTGGATATAGTTTTTGGCCCTGTACTGTTGCTGGAGTACAAGGTTACTAGCATGAAATGTGGACAAAGTCTTTTCGATCAAGTCTTTGTTAGAAACTTCTTGTTTACAGAGTTTGAGTTGTGACACAATTTTATGTAATGCTGA